TTCGCCAATCTGAAAAGCTTTACAAAATCAAACCCCCCAGGACGCAGGCAAGGGACAACTCTCAAGCCGATATTACAAAATCAACTACCCCAGTCTCAAAATATAGTCTTTACAAAATCATAGGCACTCTGTTGACATGGCTCAGTACAATTACAAAATCAACCACCCCGAGGCCTCAAACAAGATACAAAATCTCAATCGTTAAACCTGGATTGAAAAAAACAAACGATTTTGTAATGATTCAACGGCGCGACATCATCGAGACGATACGATACGATACGAATCGATACGATACGATACGATTCGTCTCACAGCTCTCACGGTTTATCCTTTCAAAATGCTCTCACAAATTACAGCAGCACAGTCCCGGCTTCCCCAGACAGCTTGTTTTTTGGCACCACAGACGCAAGAGAATTTGCAACAGATCTGTTTGACGGTGATGACGATTTGCTACACAAAGGCTACCTCAGGTGACTACTGGCGTTCCGCAAACCGTGTCAGTGAGATCTCAATTGAAGAGTTCTTTGGTCGACTTCGCACACAAGCACAGTCAGCCTAGCTTTCAACAAGAGGATATTGGAAGGCCATGTTCAGAGAAGCGCGGCGACAACAGGCAGCCAATAAGGCACAAAGGTATTCCGTCCAGAAATTGCCTCCCTTGAGTCCAAATGAGTTCCGTGAGTGTTGTGAACATGGATACAAGGCTGCTTTGCGGCTGGCTGCTTTCTCTTCTGGTCTGGCTGTGGCCAAGCTCGAGGACATGTACCAGCACTACTGCGATGGAGGAGTGGAGTTTGATTGGCAATCTCTTCAGGCACATCCTGCTGAAGCTGAGGATGATGACATGGGCATGATGGAAGAAGCTGGAGCAACAACCAATGGCAATGAATGCAAGAACTTGCTGAGAAGCATTCAAGAGGATGGCGCAACAAGCGCAGACCTTTCAGTTCCCCTTCAGGATGGTCACGCAAAGGACTTTGACTTGGAGGAGGTGCTTCTGGAATCGGTGCCTGATGCATCCAGCATCATTGAGGTGGCAGCAGCCAGTGCAGCAAATGAATCAGCACCCAAGGAGTCTTCCACAACTACCTCCAAATATGTGACTTTGCGCAATGCATTTACTGCTGTGGACAATGGAAAGTCAGTGTGGGATTCTCTTTGGAGATTGGCAATGTACCTGCGGCATGGGCGACATGTCGTTGTTTACGGAAAGATTTATACTTTATCTTCTTTGTATCTTTCTTTCTTTGCCCTTTAAAGAAACTTCTATATGACTAAGGCACGGAAAAGGAGCTGACAAGTTTATGTTTCTCTTTCTATACCACTTCTATATGACTAAGGCACAGCAAGGGAGGTGACAGCCCATGGGTTAAGAATGCCCTCAACTGCCGCAAGGCTTCCAACAAGATCAACTGGCACCAAACGCTCGAACGCCGGGATTTTGATTTTGTAAAGATTTGCTTCGTTTTGCCGCTTTCAGTGGCTTGAGAACTCTGATTCTGTAATACTGTTTGGGGCTTTGCTACTGGGGATTCTGATTTTGTAAACGTAAATGTTCAGAATCTTGCAAAAAGGGGCCAAGGATGTCCAGGGGATTCCAGCGGTTTGAGACATGTTGAGAGCATCTGAGGTGGAATAATGAAAGTGACAAGGGTTCCGGGATATCAGCCCCAAACAACCACCACAACCTACGGAGTGGGAGGTGTTGGGAAAGGTATCCTATTGTGTGGAGGACCCTGGTCCTAGTTGGCACACGGCGGGGAACACCCGAAGGGTTGGTACCCGTGGTGTGCAGGAGTGTGTGGGTTTGGGGAAGGGGCACCTACGGCCACCTACAACACAAACCCGAAAGCAACGAAAGCGAAAGTGGCACGGCGCGACCGAACGAAGCGACGTGCGCGAGCGCTGAAACGACCGCGGGCGCAATCGTTTCTTGAGCCATGATGGGCGTCGGTGTGAAACAATGACTTGTCGACCGACGACCGAAAACACTGTACATGAACCCTTTATGACATGGCAAGTTAGGGGTTACCACAGTGCGTGATATTTTGACTGGAATGAGCGCAAAATCGCGGAGGTCGCACAGGAGGAGCAAGACATCAGCTTCCGTTCCCGCACCGGACGCTTGGACAAATGGAAGGAGCTCGCACGTGTGGCGGCTGAAGAGAGATTTTGTGCGTGTGTGTGTGTGTGTTCTAATATATCCTATGAATTCCTATGATATATCATGAAAAAATTGCGAATGGACCATGCTCTACAGCAGCTCAACCCACTACAAAATCAAACGTCCATGCTTTACAGCAGGTCAATCGATTACAGAATCGACGGTCCATGACAACCACCCCACCCTAAAACTTGCATAGAATCAAGGACCCCACCCTCACCAGTGTGGCACTTTTGACATCCATACCAACATATCGATTCCTTACAAAATCAACAGCCCCAAGAAGAAATGCTGCCCTTACAAAATCAACCTCCCCACCCCCACAAAAACGGGAACCTGGAAACAAACTTTTTTCTTTACAATATCGAAGCTCTTTTTGTTACCCAGGTTGATTTTGTAAAGGAAATTTCAACGGGTATCAATTATGTAATGAATGGGTTGTGCTTCAGAAAGACAGCTCACGCAAACGCAGGAACTATTTTGCAAACCAGATTTGAGGATCATTATTTGCCAATGCCAACTCATGCTTCAAACATCTTCACAAACCACATCAAAATGTGTTGCAGAACTGCCACTTGGCGCGGCGATCCGTGTCGTTCACCGTCCCCATGTCGTTCCGCACCTGGAAGAAGTGAGACCACCGATCGTTGACCTTCAAGCGGTCTCCAAAGATTCTTGCGCGCACATCTTGGTAGCCGCGCTCTTCCAAAGTACGTAAGGCTTGCTCGATGAATGTGATGCCTTGGGTGTGAAAAGATGCAAACATGTGTCCCAAAAGAATGGCGACCTAGCACTCTACCCGGCGGGAAAATGAGCAAATGACAAATCCTCCAGCCTGGACATCCCTGAGAAACGCAGTGCTTTGCAACGACTGTGATTCCACTACATTGTTACATCCCCACACTCGAGTGGGTGGCGGGACTCTTCTCTGTAGCTCCCCAGCATTCAGCAAAAGCATGCGAAAGATGCCCCCAGTTTCATAAAAAGGGCAAGATCATCAAATAGACATGGTTCCATGCGAACATCAACACTTAAAGTATCTTAAAATCACAGGGGACAAATCATGGCCCCAAGATGCTCACAGCATCGCCATCCACCAACAGCAAAGTTCCTGCGACCAAATCGTATCCCTGATAAATTGCGACTCGCACTGGTTTGGGACGTTCTGGTAGTGGACTCATAGTTATATATAATTAATCGGGAACTGCCCAAGACTCATCAAATGATTGCCGCCTTGGCCACCGGAAACAGGAAGCTCTGAGCGCGGATTCACGGTGATCTACAGGTGTCTGGCTAGGGTGTCCGGATTCTGGACCATCGAGGACCATCGACAGCTGGGGAAGAAGGTTTCATGTCGAAATGACGCCGTCTCTCCGAGCGACCGGCTCCAAACTGGCCACAGCCATCTGTTGTGGCCACCCGGACTCTGATGGAACAATGGCTTTTTACGGAGGCATCCCAGCTTCGCAGGCAGTTTTCCACCTCGTCCTTTTTGAAAGCTGGCAGCCTCTTACACAGGGTTTTTGAACTGGATCCCAAAAATGAAGGGAACCACAGCACCAAAACCCCACCCATCACTGAATTGGCCCCACCATCCTCAAAACACCGGCTCCTTGCTCTGCCAATACCCCGCGTGCGCGGGACGCGTGGTGAGCCGTGCGGGAGGCGCACAGGCTGGAGATGGCACAGCATAGCGGGTTCGCCGTCCTGCGTCATGGAAGAAAATAGTAAAACTTGATGATGAACAATTGAGATAGATTGGATCTGTCGTCTCTGAAGCACGTGAAGCAACACAAGCTTGTGGATGCTCAAGTGTGTACATAGTTGAGTAGGGTGCTCGGCCACTTTGGGCCTCCAAACGCTGACAAACCGTAAATCCCCAGTCGTATACTATGTTACAAGGGTGCCATTGGGCACCTACAAGCTAGCAGCTGTTATTGGGATTAAACCGCAAAGGTGATCTTGACTCGCATCACCTCCAGCCGGACTCGGTTACAAGATGTTACAAGGATGCCTTTCTTCTGCCTTTCCAGCGATCCATCAGTAGCGACTTCCCGAAGCTGTGAGAGTTCTTGGACATGCGTTTCTTGGGCCGCACCATGCAGCGCCACCAGGCCTGCGGTCGCCACCAGGCCCTCGCGGCCGCTGGCCGCGCAAGGCGCGGCCCGTCCAGTTCCAGAGCGGCCCAGAGTGACACCGGACATGCTGCGAAAACGGAGCGTGCATCTGAGACGACACCCATCCGTCATCAGCTGATCTCTGTGAGCACAGAAAGCGCAAACGGTTGCTATCTCGATGGTTGGTTTGCACACAATTTGGCATCATGGATCATCATGGTCCGTTGTGAACCTACCAAGCGTGGAGGTGGGGGAACTCCCGTGGCTGACCCCAAGAAAGGACGGGAAAACCACCAAGTCCATTTGGTTAAGGGTCTATAAGGGCCCAAAAAGGCAGGTTCCGTATGAACATGGGGTTGTTGCGTTGTTGCCCCGGATGAACATGTTGGATGAGACGAATGATCAAGAATCTGATGTCCGATCTCCAGGACCTGAATCATTCGTTGACTGCTTGTGACTGTGCTTGTGGGGTGGCCACCAGCAAAAAGCGTGAAACGGCCTTCAAGCCAAAAGAGCGGATGCAAACCAACATGGACGTCCCAACCCTCCGTAGGGTCCGCCACAAGCTGCCTATCCTCGCGTTTTTCATGGAAGGGACACTTTCTTGGTTTGGGCCCAGTTACACCAAGGGTATGGCGTGCTAAAGGGATGTGTTTACGCATACTTCTTAAGTCTTGGTGTCCATGGCTCGCTTCTGTCGGCCCTCTCAGACCCCCAGCCAGCTGATGCGCTCCACATAGCTGAAAAGCTCGCGGTTTTGGAGCCCATCATGGGCGTTCCTGGAAGTCCCAGATGTTTGGCACACAGACAGATTCTAATGCAGGAGCCCCTAGTAGCGTCCTTGTTCCTAGTACGGCCAGGAGCCCCTTTTGTAGCGTCCTTGCAATGCTTTGCATGTTTTGCCTTGCCTTGTGCGGAATATGGTGGAATGAAGAAACGCCGCGGTGTTTTTTTGGTTCATACATGTTCATACCTTTTCATGGTTGCAAACACGGCTCCCATCTCCATTTCTAGATTCATTCATGATTCATAATTGTCAGTATTGTAACATAGTGATACATGATGCTTCATCTGTGCCCATTGAGTTAACTAGGGCCTAGGGCCTTAGGTATTAGTGTCCACCAGGATGGTCCAAGCATCATCAAGCCATCCACAAAGCTCACCAACTCCGAAGCTTCGTTGCTGCCCATGGTCACCTGGCTGACGAAGCTGACGCGCGGGGCGGGTCCCCGCCGCGCGGAGATTCCAGAGATCCATCAATGGCGCAATGCTGCTCGACTCGACTCATCTATAACCCTAGGGCTTCAAGTACCTCCGTTTCGAAGGTGTTTGGGGATGTTTGGGGAGGGTGCCATGTTCGGGTCCAGTCATCTTCTGGTGGCCAGGGCAGGTGAACGAAAGCTAGCCACTGCTGGGCGCGGTTTGTTGTGCAGGGTGGCCTCTTAATTGCTAAAGGAAGAATGACTCCAGCTAGCTGAGGCTAGCTTTCGTGGTAAGAACATATATAGCTGAAATATGCACCTACGCACCGTACTGAGAAGGGCATGGTCTTAGAATAGTCCCTGAAGGGCAGGGCATCAACCCGACGAATCGCCTCGGTCAACCAAAGCTTCTTCATGCTGCGGCCCTGGGTGCCCTCAAAATCTTCTTGAAAGACCTCGTGCGTCGCTCCAGTTGGGCCCTCGAGTCCCCGAAGAGTGACCCCAGGACGACTGAAAAAGGATGACCAGCCTGGGTGTAGATTTTAGGGCCGGCCCAACTTCCAGGCATGTGGGAGAAAGAGTCGAGTGTCGAAGGAGGTAACTTGGCATTGATCAATGATTATAGAAGACTAAAAACACTCACTAATCCTCATGTATGGACACATAGAGACTACATGGTACGTGTGGAAAAGGCCAAAGGCCATCAGCTGATGACAGTGCTGTGACACTCTTGCCTCTTGGTTGAACCAACTGGCGATACAAGTCGCGGGGTACGCCACTGGACGTGAAAATGGGTCGTTTTAACACATAGTTATTTGGTGCATGTTTTAAGCAACATGGTTTGGGCATGAGCAACTCCGGAACCACATGTCAGTTTCCTGTTTAGCGCCAATAATAGTAATAATAGTAATAATAATAATCATCATCATCACCATCACCTATAATATGATATAAACACCCGCACATTGTTGAAATCTCCCAAGCCATGCGTATGTTGTGCCGCTTCGGGGTGCCCCCGGCGGTGCTCCAGTGGTATTCTGGCCAGGCGCTCGATGGTACTGCTGCAACTTCTGCTTGATCTCCTCCGCGCTTCCTCAGCTGGGCAAGCGAACCTCTTGGGATGCTACGAAATGAAAGAAATTAATCAATGCAAATGAACACTCACTCTGACTACCCTGCAAACAACGGGCTTTTGGTCTACAAATCTCTACAAGCTAGAAGTAACTGGAAAACACGTCGTGCTCTTACAGTTGATGGAAGGCTTGCTCTTTCCTTTGGCACAAGCTTCGAGTTTCAGTTTGGAGCCATCTAAAAACCACAATTATCGTCAAAGCTGATCTACGTCGGCCCTCTTCCCTCAAAACAGCCGCTTCCAGCCCAGTAGCGAGCATAGCCGTGGATGGGCAAGGCATCAATCACATCCCAACAGTTGGTCTGTCGACCTGACAATGTCTTGCAGCTCAAGGTCCTCAGCACAGGCTTTGGCGTGAGCTGCTTGGCTCCAAGAGAACAGGTTTTGGGCCGCGTGCCGGAAGAAGTAGGTGCCTCGCTGCCCGTCTTCAACCCCTGTGGATGTAGAGATGGAGAAGCCTCCTGTATGATGCCTCGGGCCTTCCAAATCTACACCAAAGTACACCCAACACGCGGGTTTCAAAGTCCCACCGTGCCCAGGGGCAAAGCGATTGCCTTGAAGCTCTGCAACCAGCCACGGCAGTACTTCCTCGCCTCTGGTAGGGCCTCAGGACAGCCCCAGGCTGAGATTCCTAAGGATGAGACATCACACGAACTGGTCGCATAAATTGCACATATACATATACATATATATATATATTTATAACAGATCCAAAACAGGTCTACTAGTGGACTAACCAGTGGACTACTTCATATATAAAGGAAGCACAACTGAGAACTAAATCGAAACAACTCTCCAACCGGTCACCTCCGATCTACGAGCGTAAAGCAAAACATGGAACGACAACTCACCGAGAAACTGCAAATCTGAATAAAACAATCCAAGCAAATAAATCAATCAATCAAAACAATCTGAATAAATCAATTTTTATTCAGTTCTGTAAAAATTGGCAAACTGAATAAAACAATCCAAGCAGCAGGATCATGCGTGCAGTCATCCACCGGTTCAGCATTTTGCGCCATTGAGGGCGCAGCCAATCTGGTCAAGGGGGCACCTCGAAGCAAAATGAAGATCAAGGAGACACCTTTGGGTTTTGCATGACCCTGCAGAGAATTCCATATAGGCCTTTCTCCGGTAATTGAATTGAAAGGTGGCATGCAGAATTGCACGTCATGTTCTACCACCAAGCATTGCTTGGTCTTCAGTACTTGACCGGGTCGTCGGGTCACTCTAGGCCAACATGGACTTGGAATTGCTGTGCCAACATGACATTGCGGTGGAATGACCATCCAATGCTCTGCAGATCGACCAATGAGCCACCGTTGTGGCGGGTCGCTGAACGCTGACCTCCGGGATCGACGGCTCACCCCACGCCGCACCCCGTCCCCGTCGCAGCCTGGTTCTCGTGGGACCTGCGAAGGGAGGCGCCATGGAGGGGTTAGATCAGCATCTACCAGTTGGGTTAGGTCCCAAACCTGTGCACCAAATGAAACTCCAAAAGAAAGGAGGCTCAATACCTAACAGGATCCTACTTGTCCTGCTTGTGGATAACAGGGCCTAACATTGAAACGCGCACTGTTTTAACTTGCAAAAGTTGGCGCGCTGTGCCAGTTACTACTCATGCAATTATATAGATTTTTATAGACATACCCGGGGGATCCCGGGGGTTCACGTGGAACCCATAACATGCACAACCCAACTAACCGTGCATCAAACAGCTTAAGCAATCGCCTGCCTTTCCTAAGCCACTGAGAACATATATTACTGTAATTGGGTAGAAACATATCTTCTCACGTTTAATGCTGCTGCAAAAAATTATATATATATATATGCAAGCAAGACACGGAAACCCCTTCCACCCATTGAAAGCACAGGGGCCCGCCCCTTTAATCAAAATTTCCGGCCCTTTAGTTGGTGTAAGTGGTCCGTAAAATAGGGGACCGAAGAACATTGAAAAACTGCCTAGGACGATTGGGAAAAAATATATATACTAAAAATATCGCCCAAAATAGCCCATCATCAAACTCATTGAAAAACCTGAAGGGTCTTTCGCTTCTTTCCGTTTCCAAAATATTGTTGCGCTTCTTTGGTTTTCTTTGCTCGCAGTGTGTTTCCATCAGCCTAGCGCAACGCATTAACGGTAACAACTAGTGATGTCGCTGTGCCATGCGCTTTGGCGAGGCCTCGGTGCACGTGTTCGCGTGGCTCCGTGCCATCGGCGTGGCGCTGGCACGAATCGGTGGTGATCGATCGGTGGGTGGGTGCCGATGTATTTGAGAAAAGCTGGGCATTAATTTGCGTCGGCGTCTTCGGCAACATGGCAAACAAACTAATAGGCCCCGTCCGTGCTACATTGTCAAACAATGCCGCTGTGAAACATGCGGCTCTTTTCAATGCGCCATGCAAGCATCACCACATGGCGATATGTGCCCACATATGCGCAAACATTACCATGACAGCGCTGCAGCAAGCATGAACTTCTCCGGTTCCTCCCTCCAGCCAGTCAACACGACAGCATGATCCGACGTCAGCATTCCAACGTGACAAGGTCAGCACGTTAGCGTGACCTGTGTCAGTGCACCAGCATGACGACATGTCAGCACGACAGCCTGAGGAGCTCTGGAACCTGCCCAGGAACTTGCTGCTGAATCTTCGCCACGACCTTGTTCGCACTCCTGCTTCGCAAACTGCTCTAAAACTTGCTCGCGAAACTGCTCCTGAACTTGTCTCCGGAACCTGCTCCCTGCTCCGAAAGCTGCTCCAAACTCTTTAGCGATGGCTAGGTCGGCCCCTAAGCTTCGCTGCTGCAGTTCTTAGAAACAGCTCCCCAAGTCACTACCTTGGGAGGCACTTTGGCATCAAATAGCAAAGGGCTGGCTGTAATATGCTGCAATGAAGACTTAAAGGCAAACTGCATTTAGGGGTGTCCGACATGTTCTTTTTTGGTTAATTGGAGTTTATATACAGTAGTGTGTTCTAGTATAGGTACTCGGAATTAGTATCCTTCGTCTTCAGCATCTTTTCAACCTGTCCCATAGCAACCCTTCTGACCCACAAAAGGTTGACCCTCCAAAGACTGCAAGCACCCAACTTCTGCTGTCCATCAGGCGCGACGTGCTTGGGCCTCAGCAAGAAGGTTCACCAACTTCTGCCACTCCTGGTCTCCATATGAGGCAAAAGCCGGATAGTCGGAGGTCCGGACTGGCTTTAGCTACCTGTTTGAACAGGCTTCCAGCCTTAAACTGGGCAACTAATACATGAAGAAGATTGAACAAAACACCTACACCGCACAACACAGGAGGGCGAAGTTAAGTGGAGGACCCCGTTCCCACAATGAGCCCGAAGATCTAATGGAGATTCCTTTAGCTTTTGAGCTGATGTTGTCGAGATTGGTTCACATCCACATAAACTGCTGTTGTCGAGCTGTCAAAACCTGCGTCTCTGCAAGCGTCCGGTTGACTAAAGGGACTAAAACAACACTTGGTTTCGGTGTGTTATTTTGACCCCGAACATCCCTCAAGCCTCAACAGCAAAAGGACACCTCAAGCCTGAACGAAGTGCCCGTGGTCCGGTTAACCACCGCACCAGCTATTTCAGACTCGAGAGGAGGAGAACTCCCTCCTGTGGGCGTCCGAACCGTTGCTTTGGTGTACAGGCGTGATCCTACTAATATCTTCCATGCTAGGGGCCAGGGGTTGAAAGACATTGGCCATTTTCTGTCTATCTCAGCTTACGAAAAAACATCTCGAATCACATGCCCCGCACGAAAGGATAAGGATCGAGGGCTGATCTGGGTGCGTACTTAAATAGGGAGACCTTCCAAAGACATCCTGGAAGAAGGAAATAGACCAAAACCATCCAAAAACCATTGGTTGAGGGTCTCCCTACTACTATCACAATACACACCCAGTATCTCGCATCTGTGTTCAGATTCAACGTCTTCACTATCTTCACCCACCTTAGCAGCCTTGGCGGGGTCGAAGAGAGCAGCGAAGCCCGCACCTCAACAGCTGAAGAAAAGTGGTGTGACCAAAGGATACCAAAGGGAGCCGGATCAATGTGATGAAACATGATTAAAATCCTGTTCTTGCAACCTATGTGGTGGTGTTTCATTGTTTTGAACGGTGGTGTTTCATGCCAACATGTATATCGGTTTTGCAGATCCGTCAAATGCTTGGAACTATGCTTGGAAGGGCGGTATTCTTGTTGTTGGAGGCCGTATAAAGACATGCTCTGGGCCATTGAGGTGGCAAATGTGATCGTCCAGCCACATGCATTCAATACTATTCAATAGGAAGGGAAAGCTGGCAAAGGAAGCCTCGTATTAGACGCTATGGGAAAGGCCACCTGATCTATCTCGATCCTACGCAAGTACCGTACTTCTTTTTGCTATCACCATTGCTGCAAGCCCTGCTATCCTTGACAGCGACTTTGAAGTAAATAATTGCAAATCCCAACCATCTTGTCTGAGCAAAACATTAGGGTGGGGCCAGCACAGCCTCATTCGATTTTTGTAGCACGACCCACCGTCATTGAGACAGTTGATTGATTTAATGCTAAATAAATAGCCGCCCACCCCTACCAAACTCCATCATAATCCATGATCGAGCTTTATTCATCAACAGTCTGGCCGTCTGCATTCGAGTCGACTCTTCATCCAAGTGGCTAGTTGCTGGTCGGTACTCCTCCTCTCCACAGCCGAAACTGCCACGCGTCAGCTCCCCTGCACAGGCTGGGCCATACCTGGACGTTGTCTCCGGCCGGTGCTCCTCTGAGTTCGATAGGCGTCGATTCAGTTGGCTCCCATTGGCTCACATCCCACGTTCTATATAGATAGTAATTTCTTGACTTCACCAGAAACACTTGAAGGCTTCTGAAGAATTGATACCTTGAACATATGTGTATATATACATGTGCACAAAACACACCAATTGAACTCAGCACATGCCGACATTTCGGAAAAGAATCCTCTTGTTTTATGATGGTTTCTTGCCTTTACCACTGCGGTGATCCCAGGATAAAGAAGCGAATCCTCTTCAAGAGGCATCGCACACGTTGTTGATCAGAATCCGCTGTGTGTATTTCGGGCCTCCAAGCCTTGCTCTACCTGCAGCCAAGGGTCTGGTCTGGCTCGTTAAAGCCTCACGAACTCGCAGTCGTCAGGGACTGCACGCGACGACTCGCGTTTCGCTTCCACCGAACTGCGGGGTGCCCGTCACCACCGAGGTCCGGGAAGGTCGGGCGTCAGCGACCGCAGGGATCGCAGGGACGTGACCGGATGTTTCGTCTTCACCACGGAATCACTACTGTTTTGCTATCTCAAACGCTCCACGGAGGCATTGGTTTGAAAAATGGCCTCTATATTATCTATATTATCTCAATTACGGTAAGGTCTATTGTAAGTGCTCAAAGGCCTTTACTAACATAGTCGTCGCAACCTGTCCAATGAAAACCAGGCAGCCCATCAAATACTCGCTGCCTAAGCTGAAGAAGCCTTGGTGAAGGCAGGCGCTGCTGTGTCGCATGTACACCAAAAAAAAGTTGCCGGGCAATTGAACCAAGGTGAGGAGTCGGCTTCTTTGGGGCCCCATCTAATCCAACTAGCCTGCGGTTCAACCTGAGTCATGTCGATCTACCTGCATCAATTTCCTGGCACGGCCCAGTTTGATTGACTTCCAGCCGTGCTGGAGCCTGAACTGAACACTTTGCAACTAGTGCAGCATGGACCGGGAAGCTGCAGCGTCACTGAACTATTGTGAACAGGCGCGACTCAAGTGGAGCCTCATCTTTGCAACCAAGACCATTGCCTCACAGTATAACATGGACCAATGACCAATCATGCCTGGAACTCAAGGACAACATCTAGAACGGCACACGATCATATACAATCTATAGATCTAGTATGATCTATAGTTACTAGTTGCTCACTTTGCACTTGCTCAATTCGATCACCTTCACCTTCAACTCACCTCCAGTGGCGCACCTCGTGAAGGGCCCCCCAGCTCGTGGCCGTTACCGCCACCTCGCGAGAGAAAAGAATGTCACTGCCCAGGCACTGAAGTTCTTGGGAAGCTTAGTGCCCCAAATCATTGGTGTGAAACTCTTTCGAGCTTTTGATATGACCTGCGGGCAAGACGAACGAACGGGCGCCGCCGGGATTTTGGCGAAACGATCGACCACAGGGGAGCCATCCTGGTTACACGATAGACGAGAGAAAGAGAACAACCCCACTATCCTGGTCGGAACAAGCAAGTAACACACATTTGACACCAAAAAGGATCCGTATTTGGGATCAGAAGGAAGTCACGGTACGCACCGCTTCCATCCGCTTCTTCATGTCAAACGGGTCGACCCCTCGACCGGTGGCCTCGGTGGGCAAGTGGCTCATATCCACCTTGGGCACCTTGGGAGTGAACGTCGTGAGGCCAAGCGTAGGGCACGGTCGACCGTCCGAACGTCGCAGCAGGGGTACAGGCAAGGTACAGTGACCTCCTGCACGATGGGTTCATCCTGCACGATAGGTTTATTTGTTCCACGACCACATGTGGCGACATGTGACGACATGTGACGACATGTGACATCCCAAAGGATCCAGGACACAAAAATCAGGATGGAAATGAGTTCCTTAAACGTTTCCTATAAGACAACAGTCTGAGTCTGTAGCTGAGTCTTGACCTGATTATCAAGCTGTGCGAAGAAAACAATGCGCAGCCTGCCAAGGAACATAGTCCCAGTTCCACCAAAAGTCGATGGCACCAGAGTTCATGGCGCTTTCCTAGGCCATTGAGATCTGTTTCATCGGGCGCGAGCAAACCGATGTCGCCATGTCTGTGGCTTTCATGATGGGGTCAGCACGTCAAAAGCCCTAAAAGACGTCAGTGCCCATTGATCCTCCCGGTCATCTGGCCGAAACCCCGAAGAACAAATCGTCGACACAACCATCCAACACCAAGGTCTCGCGAACGGGCCGCAAACAACAATCGTTTTCTGTCACAAAGGGGTGGAAGTTAACGCTTAAACCTATGTTCTACCCTTTGGCTTGGATCAAAAGCACAGCGTCTCTCAACCGAACGTTGTGCATGGTATTGTCGCTCCATCAGTCCACCTTGCATCGTGTAGCCGTCTAGCGTCATACGGTCTATGCAAAAGGCAAGGGGGACAGCGAGTGGGACCTCGCAGCATTGGTGGAATTAGCCAAGTCCACCAACCAACTCACCAACAAAGCACGCCAACCTCATGGGGCAGGTTCTGGGATCCACCCGCTCCGTGTCTGGGCACGGCTGGCTCGGGCAGCCCTTCACGACGCGCCCAGTCCGAGGTTTGCATAGTGAACAAGACCCTGAGACTCCAATCACATCCTGAGAAGGTGGTTGGGGTGTGTGCCAGTGGGGTTCTAAACACCTTTCAGGATGTGGGTGGAGTCTTAGGGACATGTTTTTGGGGGTACATGATGTGAATAGCGTGAATAGTCATAGTCAACAATGAGTCAACAACGAACAAGTCTGATAGATTGGTGCATCCTAGCATACGCATCATCATGTGTTTGAATAGCAAAGCCAAACACTATGGCAGGCCTGGGCTCTTTGTGTGCCAAGGTGCTAAGCACTGAGGACAGTCAGTGAAGGTATTGGTGCCCACACCGCAGTGGAGAGGAGGCTTTTTAAGCTTCAGCGCCGCAGCTGGTGTGGGCAAAGGCGAGGAAGGATCCTAGAATTAGAAGCAAACAACATCGACACCAGTTCTATGGGGTTTTCCTTCGTGTTTGCTTGATTCCACTGTGGGCAAGCTTCCTTCTCGGCTTCTCACCAAGAACCACAGGGCGGCAGTCCTGTTTGATCCTATTATTCGCCTGAAACACCAAGCCCGTTCCAAGCATAGAAAGCGGTGTCATCTCACACTCTGGCCCTCCGGATGAATCTTGCAATCAATTTTGTACGGTGGTTTACTGGATCTTCATCGATGGGTACTCAGAAACGCGTTCCAGTGCTTGAGTTGCACCCGAAAGAATGCACATATTCGGGGCATGCAAAGTTGCAAAGATTCGCGGTGGGTGGACCAATGGCCAGCCCAACTCGCAACATCCCCTGATCTTTACAACTCAAACGGTCAGAACTTGGCACACTCCCGAAAACGAAGATGGACCCTGAGAATGGCAGAATGAAAGATTAACGATGGTTTTCTAGTCAGTTTTCAAAAGAAAACTCATCAAAGGTCTAGGACAAGATCCTCATGTCTGGGATTCTGCTCTGTTCCGCATGAATCTTTCCTACGGAGTCCAGCACATTCCGCTTGAAGGTGGCATCCAAGCCCTGCCGTGCTCATCGGTCAGTCGCGACCCTGCATGCCCCTGCCGTGTGCTCCCGTGCTCCTTGAGATCCGCCGTCGCCACAGCGATGGAGAGCCAATGCAAGGTTTTACCTGAGAGGATGACAAGCCACACAGGAGAAAAGCACACTGCTGTGGGTTCTTCGCTGCGCAGTGGGGAAGACATCTTTTGAGGGGCTCGGCTCCACTGCACTGCTAAAATGGATGAGCTTCTTTTTGGGGTCATGGGTCACACCGGTTTCTGGAGAGAAGCTTGCCGAGGTCCCTGCTTGAGCCTTCATGGGTCCACTTGTCTATATGGAGACAAAGTTGATCACCTTCTCATCAAAGGCAGATCTGAATCTGGTAAAACCGCAAGAGGTTACAAAGCGAATAAAACTGAAATCAGCTTATATAACTCCAGCCGCTAAAGCTATCTCATAGCAAAACCGGTGACATAACCAGCAAATCGGTGACATATGCCTGCGACAGCCTTCTCTGGGGTCTCAGGAATCCTGGACTCATCTGGCGCTGAAATCTCTGCTATAAGAAGTCCGATCCGCGTGATCCTCGGCTGTCCAAGAGGCGCATCTTGCTCCACCACCTGCTATCAAGAGCGCTGTGTGTCCGCGCGTGATCAAGCCGATGGGATCCATGCCGCATCATATCAATAATGTATAACGACATCATGCGACATGCACGGTCAAATTCCTGTTGGCTGAGTTTTCAGTGTTCGATTCCGGGTCGACCTCCATTCGATGTCCCCGCCTAGCAGCTGCCGGACGCGCAGCCGGACGTGCCGCTGCCAAAGCGGAACCCAGCTAAATATAGATAGATGTGCTAGACACTTTGAAATGTCCAGTGTCCAAAAGCCCCACAGCCATTGTTTTACAGAACAGGCTTGGCAAGAGTGGAGGGCTTTGAAGTAAAGCTTTTGTTCAGCCAAAACCAAGTAAATAAACAGTGCTAAACTTGCCCCAGGCACCCGACAAAGAATGGCCAGGATGCAAAGGGTCTACGAGGATATCAAAAGGCCGCTTTGAAGAACCAGCCGGTTGAATTCCTGACGGTCTCTTTTCCATTTTGCAGTGTGGCGTTTTGCACAACGCTGCCGAAACAACTCGTTGTCTTTGAAGAATGGGTACGGTATGACAGGTATGAAGCCCAAAGGGTCCAGGACCAACTCGCCACCCATGAAACACAAGGTAATTATGGTATGAAGCGCTGGACCCAAAGGGAGAAGTACAGTACCTTGATCCCACGGCACGGGGAGCGGTCGGTCGGTTTCACAAGTCTTGGAGCCTCACCTTGGCCTTAAAATGTTCCAAAGACCGTTTTTCCACCTGTTCTGCCTAAATTGTTTGGGTTTCCTGGCTTCCCCGAGGAAAGGTTTCGGTCAAAGGCTATCTGCTGACTGGGTCAGTAGGAATGTACGAGACTATGCATGACATCACGTTCCCTATCTGTGAACATTGTGAACGTGTCACCCAAGTGACCAACGGAAGCAACACATGCTGCTCTGGGGAGTGCTTGCACTCCTTGACATGAGAGAATAAGGGAAACCGCATTGCAGCATGAACTCACAAAAACCCGTACGTTTTAGGGCTAGGGTGTCAGTAAGTGCAAGTGTACTACGTAAGTTTTTTGGGGGAGGGCCGCTAGCGAGCCAGGGATTTTTTCTCCGTCATGGGATTCATCTCATGTGTCTCACATCGTTGAGGTGCTCCGAAGTACGGTGCTGCCTTCCTGAGATGTGAGAGAAGAACTGAGTGTTCGGTGTCTTCGCTTTGTAATTGTGGGAGCACCAAGCACCAAGCACTCAAGAGCACCAGCTATAGCATTTGTTCACCGCATGGACACACAAACAATAATAACTGGACAATATGGGCACTGGACAATGGGCAATAACAACAATACCATGGTCGGTTGTTGGACCCTGTTCCATTCATTGCCGGCTGTTTGTTGGTCACCAGGTCCACGGCCATTTTTTTCTCCGATCCAACGGTGTGGGGAATGCCCTGCGCTCCGTTGAGCAAAGCAAATGGATGCTATTGGATGTGGGTCAAACCACTCACGACACATGAGTTGTTTGATGCAGTTTGCTAAGTTATTTGCTTCATATGTGCACATTGAAGGTTAGGCTTAGGACATCTGAAACTTGCTTTGCTGCAATCTGCACATGGATACCGTGTCGTTTGCAAGGTTTGTGCACTCATCTGGTCAAGTGCTGTTAACAGAATCCCATGATCTCAGTGAAAAAAAGTGTACTGAACATCAACATGCAAATCGATACAAATGCATCTTTGCTGACTTCTGCATGGACACATGTCCAAGAAGCTTCCCTGTTTCAGTGTGAATTATTGCCGGGGTAGTGGTTGGGGTATCCTTCTCAGGTACCGCTTTACAACTCAAATGCTTGTGCATTTCTTCGACAAACAGAATGGACATTGAAAACAGTCCAGATATTGGGCCCGAAAAAAAGTCGGTCTCAACACACCAAAGGTGCTGGGTCAAGGTCTCAACCGTTACCAACACCTGCAGCATCCGGCTGCTGGCAGCTGGAGGTTGAAGAACCCTAGTTCGACTATACCAGTTGGGTACCCCAGCAGGGTCCTAATGATAAGGTCACTTATGAATTACTGTAACCTCTCTTGGAATTGACTTCCACGTTCGCTGAATGTCTTGTTTCTGTTCCCATCTTTTCCCCACGAAAGTCTGGGCCCTCTGATACCAATCGAAGCAGGAAAACAAAACGCAGTTGTCATTGACCAGCGACTCCTTGACTGAGAGCCTTGACCGCTCAAATCAACATAGAAGGTGTTGTAAACAAAGCTCTTGATCTCCAATTCTCCAAGCCAATGGAGTAATCCTCTGTGACTATATGATACTATATATGACATTATATGACTATATGCATTGAGGTTTGTATAGCTTTGCGATGCTTTGTGTTTACCAGGTGCCCAAGTTGCCCTGAGATGCTCTCGCTGTTTCACCAATCTTTGTTGAAGCGCTCTTCGATGTGTTCAACTGTTTTTTGATGAGGGTCCCAAACGCACCGCCCTCTTACTTTTGTTTGCTTTGGTGGGTGAGCTGCTGAGATTGCAAGATTTGGTGCTTTTTGATCCGCTGCGGACCGCGAAAACCCGCCGTCTGGGAAGCGACACCAATGCTCCTTTCGGAGGGACGACCACATCCAACACTCCTTCGGGTCTCCCGCCGGCTGAGGCTTTGGAGCGTCTTTGCGCATCTTGTAAAGGCGAAGCTTCAGGGGATATGCAGGAATTTTCGAGGTAAGAACATGTAGGACATGAGGGTGAAACGGGACAGGATGTAAGTATAGCACCACCCAAACCTAGGCAAACAATATAATTCGGAAGGGGTGGTCGTGTCAAGTCACTGGTGATGAAAGGCTCAGGCTAACCAGCAACCCCTAGTAGCTTCTTGTTACTAGTAGTAGGAATGCTCCTAGTAGCGATGCCAGGAGCCCCTAGTAGCGTCCTTGCTCCTAGTAGTAAGGCCAGGAGCCCCTAGTAGCTTCTTGTTACTAGTAGAAGTGCAAGAATGATACACAAGGCATTGAAGGGGAAAATGCAGAAGGATTCGTGCCAAACCCTAGCGGCCCTAGCTGCTTGGGAAATCCTTCGAGGTCGGCGTAAACCTGACAAAGCCAATCCATGTTTAGTCTTCATAGAAAAGCCAAGGCAAGCTTTGGAGACCACTTAGCCACTTCATGCCACTTCCAAAGCCTCGCCATCCGTGAAGTTCTTATCGCGCACGCGAAAAGTGAAACATGAGGTACTTTGATGTGCTCAATTGGAAGGCATTATAATGGTTACAATATGTTACAATGTGCTTAACCATGATAATTAATTCTGTTCATCTTGGAGCCCCAGCATGGACAATCTTTGGGCGAAGCAGTCTCCCCGTTCGCAAGAGCCTCTCTCTTTCAGAAGGGTTGGCCACTCCATCTGTAACTACTGCGATCCCCGGAAGATACGGTACCTTCCGTGAAAGAATAATGCAAGTGGAACATGCCCCCGTTGGAAGATCGTTTTTTCCGTGCCGTTTTCCGTGCCGACTTCCCGGGGCCCGCACGACGGGCCCAGCCATCTGCAAAGCGGGCCCCGGTCTGTGATGGGGCATTTCGACTGGTGGATGGGATCGGACAAAGATGATTAGGCTTATGATGTTTGAGGTGCTAGTGCTAGTATGGGCACACCTCTTCCACCCATGTGGCACACCTCACGTGTCCAAGGATTGTGGACAAAACACATTGTAAATAGAGAACCGATGAATCAATGAACGCACCAACCAGTCCTTCCTTCTTCCGCACATGAACGCCAGTTCGCACGGCGCTGCATTCGCAGGTGGAACCGCCTCTCTTCGAAGACAGCCCCGGCTCTCTCGGGATGCATCCGTCTTCGCCAGTGGCTTCTGGCTTGAAGATTCATCACAACCGGTCATCCCCGATGTAGAAGTGATCGCAGTTCAGCCCATCTTGATTCAAGTGGAAGCTTCAAGGGTGCAGAAAAAATGACCATATGGTAGTTGCACAGCAATTAAGTTAAATTAGTACCTTAAATGTGTCCTTCATGCTCTAGATCTATACATAGTGATCAGTTGTTAGGCAAATAATAGAATAGAAATCACCTAATGTGCACCTTTGACCTCAAATAGTCTTAACAACTGTTTTAGTGTTGGTAGTACTGGCCTTACTATAGACTAAAAGAAAGGAATTGCAGGGAATCTCCTTGCTATGCTGAGTGTTGCTTGCTTTCTTTGGAGGCAGGAGCCTTTTTCAAGACGTGTTTTTAACGGCTAGATTTGGAATATCTAGGTCCAGTGGCAAAGCCATTTAGCTTTATGTAGGGGTGTGATTGTAATAATGTTCTGGGATTAGCTTGGCTTTTTATTCTGGGGATGCTTAATTGCTAATATGTCGACATTATAGATTGGACACTCGTTTCGAACACCTTTCGATGCGCTCCGAGGAGCATCCTCCGGCAGCCGGGTCAGCTCCGCCATGTGCCGGCGGACCCACGGTACCGCACGGTCGACGGTCGACCGCTCACTCAGCACGGTGGCTTGGCTCGGCTTGGCCTGGTGTGTTGGCACAGTGGGTCAGTGAGGTGAACTGAACCCACCTCACAAAGAAAGCGACCATCATGCAGGTGCGTCATCCCATCATGCAGGTTGTGCCATGCATCTGCTGAACATCTGCTAAACCTACGAGTCGCAGGGCACCCAAGGGACCAGTGTTCCTGCTCTCACGGATGCACATGCGGAAGAACGAGCAACCATAGAACACATGAGGATACATAAGAGGCAACTGTACAACGCCCTCAAATATGTTCAAATCTTGCCCAGTGACTCTACAGAACTAGAACTGATACTCCGAACTCCCACAAAATTAGAATGTGATCTTGTTTGCGCCGTGTACCGTGCTTGGTGGTTTTGGGAACTGCTAACGTGACTTGCACACTTCCTACTTCCTACTTCGCCTGAGTGTTCTGTCTGTCAGACAGCTGACGGCCTTGGACTCGACCCTTCGGACTGGACTCGACCGTGGACTCCCAGCCACGCACTCACCGCACTCACCGCCGTCGCCCCGACCCCCAGGGCGAACGGTCGCGGTCCTTACGGAACTTCCCGACGGGAGGACCTGGCGGCCCGTCGGGGTGGCCTGTGGCCATTTCGGGGGATCATGGCTGGTGAGTGAGTGTGTGGGGGCCCCTGGCACTGGATTTTTTGTCCATGTGGCTGATTCATTCAGGATGTTGAGATCTTAGTATGCTGATGATCGTTAAGAAGTTCCTATAGATCAAACAAAACAATCCTCCTTGACACGGTCA